ACAACAATGACAACTGCAACAAAAAATAGCCACCTGTGGTCCCAGCTACTTGGGAGGCTGAGGCAAGAAAATCACTTAAGCCCAAGAGTTGGAGGTTGCTGCGAGCTTTGACGCCACAGCACTCTACCAAGGTTGACATAGTTAAGACTCTGTCTCAAAAAAAAAAAAGGGTGGCACCTGTGGATCAGTGATTAGGGCACTGACCCCATATACCAAGGGTGGTGGGTTCAAACCCAGCCCTGGCCAAACTGCAACAACAACAACAACAACAACAAATAGCCGAGTGTTGTAGCGGGCATCTGCAATCCCAGCTACTCAGAAAGCTGAGGCAAGAAAATCACCTAAGCCCAGGAGTTGGAGAATGCTGTGAGCTGTATGATGCCATGGCGCTCTACTGAGGGTGACAAAGTGCGACTCCTACAAAAAAAAAAAAAAAAAAGAAAGAAAAGAAAAAACACCATGGCCATCTATACACACTAGACTTTTTAAATGTACTCTAGCAGGCCAATATTTAAGAATATATATATATAAATGGCTCAGCGCCCATAGGTCAGTGGTTAGGGCACCAACCACATATACCAAAGCTGGTGAGTTTGAACATGATCCAAAGCTGGTGGGTTTGAACAATGACAACTGCAACAAAAAAATAGCTGCGTGTTGTGGCAGGCGCCTATAGTCCCAGGTACTTGGGAGGCTGAAGCAAGAGAATTGCTTAAGCTCAAGAGTTTGAGGTTGCTATGAGCTATGATGCCATAGCACTCTACTGAGGGAGACATGCCAGAGGTGGCAGGTTCAAACCCAGCCCCAGCCAAAAACTGCAAAAAAAATAAAGAAAGAAACAAAGAAAGAATATATATAAAAATATAAGATTTTGTTTGTTTTTTGAGACAGGGTCTCAAAGCTATCACCCTGGGTAGAGTACCATGGCATCATAGCTCACATCACCTCTTGGGCTCAAGCGATCTTCCCGCCTCATGAGCTCAAGCAATCTACCTGCCTTGGCCTCCCAGAGTGCTAGGATGGTTTTTTTTTTTTTTT